TTGATTTTTACTTTTTTCCCCTATTGATTAGGAGGCTGCTGTACACACAAACCTAGCACAGCATGGAAAGAGAAAGGGAGGCAAAACAGTTCACATCCCGGCAATTCATCATGGTGGAAAATTCATCTTGGGAACCCCAGTTTTCTCCCACTATCTCTTTCAAATAAAGAAGGAAGCCTTTCCCTTTTGCAGAAATCAACCCACAGGGCTCATGAGATGATTGATAACACTTTGTTTTTATTCCAACCATCTCCGACTAGCAAACATTTCAAAGGTTACCAAGGAGTCTTGCAGGAAGAGCACGGGAGTTGTAGCTTCAAGACTTAATCTGGAACAGATTTCTTGGTTATATATGGGTACCCAACTCATTTATAACAGCACCCAGATCCCACTAAAATCAATGCAAATACTTTGATTTTGGTGGGCTTTGCTACTATATTCTGAACTTTTCAGTGCTTCAGTGCCTCTGTAAACTAATGTACTTTGTAAGACTGTTATGAGGCTAAATGAGTTGTTTGCACAACATTTAGCTTGGAAGAGGATATAGGTCAGAAGCTGAGGGAATTACGTATTGCAGCTTTATACCCTCTTACTTGGTCTCTGCCAGAGTTCCAGTCCTGTCTAAAATGGAGTTTTTTAGGCACTCTCAGGGCAGCACCAGCGCCACTTTTACATGGAAACCTACTAATTTTAATTATTAGACCTCTGTGCTCTGAATCTCTCTTCTTTCTTCCTTTCCAGTCACAGTATTACACTAGAGATGACTCTTCTGTAGTATTTGAATATTTGATGTTTGAACTGCCTTTTATGTTGATCCTCAAGTTAGATGAACCTGAAGAAAAGAGGACCACTGAGGCTATTTCCATCTGTATTTATCTCCCTGTCTCGATCTCATTTAAATCTCTATTATCCCAACCTGCAATTCTCTGGCAAAACCCCACAAATCTTCTTTCCTTGGTTTACTAGTTTGTTAAATTGGCCTAAGAAAACCACCAGCATGAAGATATGATGTGAATAACGTTTCTTAAGTGCTTTGGGACCCTCAGCTTTGGATGCCAGTGATGACTGCTCTGATCATCCCCTCTGCTTGTCTAACCATACAGACTTTTTCCAACTTTCTCTTTTCATTCTCTTTCTGCATCAGATCTCACTTCTGTCTTCTCTGCCCATTGGCTTCCAGTTCTATAATCATCACCCTAACCCCAATTTATTTTTCCTAGCATCTCCTCTGCTGGTGCCTCTGTCTATTAACACCTCTGCTCTGCCTCCAAATACAGCTGCATCAACTCCATCTCTTTTACATCTCATTACAGCAGCTCCTTCTGAGCTGGCCTCCCCAGGATGAAGATTCCTAGATACCAGTTTTCGTACACTATCGCGGTCTGATTTTCTCTTATGTGCCAAAAAGCTCCACTGCAGCTCTCAATTCACAAACACTCTAGTCAGCTCCATTACCATCCCATGGAGCTACTTCCGACTTTGTGCCCTTCATCTCCCTTCCTGCATCTTTCCTGTGCCCCTATTTTTCCTACAGCACTGCCCCTTCTCTCCACAAATAGCAACACTCTTGGTTTGCCATTGGAAGCAGACTTCCTGTGGCTCCCTGTCTCATCAGCTTCTCATTTCAAGTAATTTAAAATGTAATTTAAAATCTCTCTATTTCCTCCAGACTATTAATTTCTCTCTCCTTACTCTTCTATAGATGTCATTCTGTGTTGCGCTATTCAGTAAGACTGTTGTAAAAACCTGGCACAGGGGTTTTATTCTGCATTCCTGTTTTGGATTGTAATTTTTAATGGTTCTTTGTAGGAAAGATGAAATCTCAGCACAGCATCTAGCCACAGCACAAGCAGTCACACAGGACATTCTGGCATTTGCATTGCCTTTCTTCCATTCTTCTCCTGCGGCATTTAGAACCGTAGAGGAAATGTTGTCAGTGGCCTAAGAGTATATAAGTATTGTAGCAGGAAGAGAATCATTTCTGGAAATTGGGAAATGTGAGGCAGGAAGCTGTGTTCAGTCCTTATCCTGGGATGTGCTGAGCCCTCATAGATCTCACTACTCTCAGCCAGAGGTTAAAGAGCTCACCACCCTGCAAACATGGCCTTCTTACACTGGCCATTTCTTTCTGGGGAGAACGTGCCCCTCTGGTGTTGTCACTTGGAACCAAACTTGTCAAAGCTGCAGAAATACGTAATAAACAGTTCTGGATTGGTTTGAGGGTCTCTGTTTTGGCCCAGCCACTGCATCATCCTTGCCATCTGCCTGGGTTCATTAGATGTAAAAATATGTAATCCTGACATTGCAGCAATATATTTTTATTTACAGGTGAAATCTGTAATTTCTCACAGTATTGGGGTCCCCTGCAAGCCCAAATCCACAACCTGTGCGGTGACTGCTTGCTCTTCCTACTAGGCTCACTAGACTCGTATACCAACAGAAGAAAGCTCCTCAGCCCAGAGACGACTTCTGTCCAGGCAACCACACGTACAGTGACCCAAAGCAGCACTGCCATTTGTAACAGTGAAATAAACACTTAACCCCATAGGCTATGCAGAGGAGCCCAAAGTGAAAACACAAAACATCACCCCTTGTCTCCCTCTCCTCCCTGAATGACCCTCGTGTGTAAGGGTGGGATCCTGGGAGCTTTCAGAAGACCTAAGATCTCTTTGCTTCCACTAACTCCAGCCAGGTCACTCCTGTGGCATTACTACAAGAGCTGTGCTACACAGTTTTGAGAGTACCGAGTAACTGAGGAGCCCACCTTCCTTGGAGCTACATGCTCCGCACATTGGTGCCTGATGGATTTGAGTGCCAGAATAGCCAGCTGAAGTTTTTTCCTCTTCAGAGTCTTCCAGACTCCTGGCCCAGCTTTTCTACCTTTGAAGAATGAGAAGACTTGAATACTGGGGTTAAGTTGGAGGCGAACAACCACCAACACAAAAAGAAAATGGCTTAGAGTCCCAATAATTATTTTTTCCACACTTATACCTTCCCCCTTCAAGGCCCCTTCCTTCTTTCAGTGGGAATGTCTCAGAAGGGGAGAGGAAGTCCTTGGTGATCTCTAGGTTGGCCAGCTAAGAGCCTTACAGAGCCTCCTCTTCAACACAGGCTGTCCTTGTAAAGCCATAATCTCCCACCATCGCAGGGGTGTTCTCTGCATCTCTCTGCCTCTCAAAATCCTTTGAACCAAGGACAATGGTTCAGAGCCTGTCCGCAGCTACCATACTCCACACTCCTGCATCAGCCTGCGTCCAAAAAGTGCATTGGGGCCACATCCCCTTTGCCCATCACTCCATGAGTGCAGAAAGAGACTCCCAGCTCCTGTGGCAGAAGCCAAAGCCAGGATTCTCCCAGGTGAGGCTGGGAACTCGGTGGTCTTAACCTGCACTGTCTCCTATCACCTCTCATCCCTTCTCCTGCCTCCCCAGGTCCTTTCCTGCATGCTGGTGGTGATCTGCGTATGGCTGATGCCAGACACCACGAGTGCTGGCTGCTAAACACCTGCAACTCAGTCTCAGCTGTGCAGGCCCTTCAACTGCGGAAAGTGATCAGTGGTCTGCAGGGCAGCCAATGTCCCCCTTCACCACCACCACCCCCCTCCCCTCCGCTGGCTATGAAGCCTTTCAATTCCAACAATCGTGGGGCAGACTGTCCCGAAAGGACAGTCCCAGTCTGCACCCAGAGAGGGAGAAGGGAAGGGAGGTAGATGGAGTTATGAAATTGTAACGTGGCTGAAGCCCTCTGAGTGGTTCAGCTTCCCAGCACTCACTTCCCTCAGCCCTGCTCCCTGCACAGAACAGCAGTGAACCTACAACAGCTCTTCTGGCCCCCTTTTCACCGAACAACGAATCCGATCAGAGAGAAACAAAATCGGCAGCATCAAGAATTAGAGGATTCCTTTTCTTTATGGTTGTTGCATTAATGAGCAGCTACATGTATAGGACCAGGAGGTGACTAATGTAATTAACCTGGTGTAATGATACTGCTGAGGAAGAGAGAGAGGATTATGACATACTTAGATGTCAGTACTGCACAATTTCGTGTATGTTCCCAGTACTCTCAGCTTGTGTCTGACACAGGAAACTTCACCACTGATAGAACGCAGCCTACATCCATTCAGCTCATGCATTTTTCTGTGTAAAATGAGGATGTGAAATGGGGATTGTTTCCCTAGGTTTGAAGGGGAGGGAGCTATTCAGTTTTGGCGGTTTCTTTCCTTAACAGCATAATAGTAATAATAAAACAAATTGTCCTTTCTGGTGAAGAATCTTCCCAAAATGTCTGCTTCTTGGAGCAGGGGTTGGGATTTCACGGAAAGCTGTGAAGGCAAAGTCGGAACGCGGGGATTCACACAACACTGGTCAGGGGGAGACAGAGGGACGAAAAACACCAAAACACAGCCAACTTGCAGCGAGCCCACGAAGAGTGAAGAGCAAGCATTTAAAACCCCACCACAGCAGCAACAATAGCAGCAATAAGCGCTTATTTTTAAATTACCATTTCACCCGTCTCCTGAGGACAGAAACGGCTGCCTGAAGTTTTGCGCTGGGGTGGCCGCGGTGTGCGGGTTTGCAGCTCTGAGCACGTACGGGAGGAAGGCTGAGCTGAGGGGGACAGAAAACCGAGGAAGAGGGGGAGCCCCAGCTCCGCCTGGGCCACCAACCCTTCTCGGGGCTGGCAGCGGCGGGTTGGGAGCCTGGAGCGGAGGGGGGGGGGGGGCTGCCCCCTTCGCCCCTCCCTGCCTGCTCCTTGCCTGCTGCCCGCGCAGAGCGCAGCGCAGCGCAGCGCAGCGGAGGAGGGCGGCTGCCGCCCGCGGATGCTGGGGCGCGGGCGGCGCGGGCAGGGCGGGCGGCGCGGGCAGGGGAGCTGTCCTTCAGCACCGCGGGCCGCCGAGCGCGCCTCCCGCACCACCGCCGCCGCCGCCCGGGGAGCCGTCCTGCAGCACCGGGGCTCGGCAGCGCTCCTCCCGCACCGCCGCCGCCCGGGGAGCCGTCCTGCAGCACCGCCGCACGCCGCTGTCGAGCCGTCCAGCGCCGCGCCGCCGCCGCCGCCGCTGCCTTGATGCAGTAGCGGGGCCCGGGAGTAGCCGGGGGCCGCCGCGGGGCAGGGGGTGCCGCAGCCGCGCTCCGCGCCTGTAGCCAACCCCCCACCCCCCACCCACCCCCCCGCTTCCCCCCCACCCCACGTCCGTGTCCTCGTCTTCCCACCGCCACCCGGAGCCCCCCTCTGTCCTCGCCCACCTCCGCCGGGAACGAGCGCCGCGGCTGTGCGGAAAAGCCATGGGAGGCAAGACCTCGGCACCTGTTCAGCTGAAATCAAGGGCTTACAGTATACTGGGCAGCCTGGCTTGGTGGTAGGAGCGAGCGAAAGGAAAGGAGAAGCAAGCAAGCAAAAGTGAGAGAGGATTGGAGCGACTGCCGCTGCCGGGAAAAAAAAAATAATAAATAAAACCCCAAGGAAGATAACTGAGAAGGAAAAGGATTTTCATGGCGCAGGCTGCAGAGCTAAGCAAGAAGACTGAAGGTTGCATCTCTGCTCTTACAGTCTCTAACTGTCTAGGTCCAGATAATGAGAGATTGTGTTGAGGATGCTGCTGCTGCTCCCCTGTTCACTGTGGAAGCCATCTCCAAATTAGCCATTACATATGGAAACTGGAGACCAGAATTTTAGAAAAAGGGATTAAGGCGTCTCATTTTGGGGGGGGTTCTCTCTTTATTTGTTTGGTTTTTCTTGGTTCTTTTATCTCTTGTTATTTTTTTTCTTTTTTTCCTTTTTCCTTTTTTTCTATTTCAACCAGAACGTTTCCAATTTAAAAGGCAAGCCTCTTCCCGTGTGGTCTTTCTAATTTACACTCTTTTCCGTGGGCTTTCTTACCTCCCTTTTTTGATATCTATCTCTCTATATATACCCATTATATTATTAGTCGGAATTATTATTCATTTATTTTATTAAACACACACACCCCAAGAATCAGAAGGCGGTTGGGTATTTGTATAATGAAGAATTATGGGGCTCTTTGACAGAGGTGTTCAGATGCTTTTAACCACCGTTGGTGCTTTCGCTGCCTTCAGCCTGATGACCATAGCTGTGGGGACCGACTACTGGCTTTACTCCAGAGGGGTTTGCAAGACTAAAACTGTCAGTGAGAACGAAACCAGCAAAAAGAACGAGGAAGTCATGACCCATTCTGGATTATGGAGAACCTGCTGCCTGGAAGGTATTTGATCCTGGATCTCCACCACCCCCTCCTTTCCTCTCCCACCAACCCATGTTTCCCCCCCCTTCCAAATAAATCCCTCCACATTCCACCATTTTCTCACTTCATTCCTTTCACCACGGATGGAGAGCAGTGGGCTCAGTTACTCAGGGCACAGAGGCAAGAAGACAGGCAAAACATTCTCTGTTCTGTTCCCTTCTCCCTTCCTCTTCCCCACATTCCACCCCCACCCCTCCCTGTGAAAAATTCACTTCCCCTCTCAAACTGGGATAACGCGCGTGTTACAAAAACACCGAGAGACCCAATTGTGTGGTCTGCCTGTCTTCAGCTTGTTTGTACTGCCTGGGAAAGCAATGCCAAAATGCTGTATTATTGCTTCACCACACAGTGAAGTAATTTGCAAACGGCTTATTTGCAAAGACAAGACTGGGAGCGAGGGGTGATGCGGGGAGGGGGTGACTGCAAAGCACTTTGGATGCAATTATCAGTTCACTTTTGGAGGGGGGGAAGAGAGAAAAGGAAGCAGCCCTGTTAGGTCCAATATGCCTCATGCAGTGAATCTAATGATTCCAGTCATCTTGAGCAGAGTTCAGATCATTTCGTAATGTCTGTGAGCAGCCACATCTCACTGGGCTGGGTGCAGAGGGGTCTAGTTGGTGGCTGACTGCTTTGGGACTGGGATTTTTCCTGGGTTTGTTTGTTGTTTAGGGGGGGTGGGGGGTGGGTTTTTGTTTGGGGCTGTTGTTTTGGGTTGGGGGGGGGGGGGGTGTAAGGTTTATGGTAAAGGCTAAAAATAAATAAGCCTCTGAATGGAAAAAATCCAGCCTAAGTCTGATGTGGTGAAACTGAACAGCAACTCAGTGACATGTCTGATGGCAGAAGAGACAACACCACAGCCAACTTCTCGAATCAGACGTTCCTAAGGGAGAGGGAAAGAAAAGAGGGGGCCAGTGATTTGCTTTTGAATATGTGTTGCTCGCTACCGCTATTGGCGTATGTGTGGGCTGGGGAGGTGGTCTTCAGCCTGTGCTGGAGGGAGAGGGGCAACCGATGTAAATACGTGGCTTATGTTACACACGTAGCGAGGAGGAGAGAAGCGAGAGCACAGGAGCGCACTTTACAGCCCATTGTAAAAGCCCTGCTTATGAATTAGCTCCCAGCCGAAGGGTGGGCTCCTGGAGCTTTGTGGGCATCCAGGGATAACGCCTGGATCTGGTGGCATCCACCGGAGCTGGGTGTGCCTGGAGCTCCCCATCAGGAGACAACAGGGAGCGGGTACCGCAGGACTGATTCTCTCAGACCGGCACTGGGAGATGGGAAGGCAGTGGAGGTGGGGGGATAAACTATGCATGTCCTGATGTCTCTCACCAAAGCAAGCTAAAGCTGCTGTTTGGAAATGGTTGTGTCCGGGAAGAAGCGTGAATTTCCCCCCCGTTCTTGGTGCAAACGTTTGAGTGATGGCTGGACATGTTTTGAATAGCTAAGTGACTTCATTGAGCGATGGTCTATTTGACGCATACTGCATTTAGTGCCCTTTGTCAACCCAAACTGCTGCCTTTTAACATATCCTGCAGAGGAGCTCTATGCTGAATACTATATGCTGTCTCCACGCCAGAAAATCCATAGCAGTAAATTAATGGGAGATGTTTTAAACACACACGCACGCACACACGCACACATTTCCTCCAAATAGATAGAGGTATATAGCAATAAAAAATGAAAAGCTTTTCAAATAGCTATTCATTAGAACCAGGGAAGGAGACGTCTCCTTAATTAAAAATTAATGAGAGAGGGAAGAGAAAAAATAAATAAATAAAGGAAGCCTAAATGCAAAGCCATGTGGGGAAGGGAGGATGCGGGCTCCTGAGCCGCGTCCCCAGGCTGGAGGGCAGAGGGAGGCTTGGGATGGAGAGAGAACGTATGAGGACCCTGACCAGGAGAGGCAGTGAATTCGGATCATGTCTATCTGCCCACAGAGCTGTACCCAGAGGGACGAGGTCCAAGGGGGAGGAGGAAGGGGCGGGTGAGGTTTGTCAGATTGGAGGAGTTCAGGGCTCCTGCTCCTTTACATATGACAGGACCCCACAGGCACTGTGGAGAAGTGGCTTGCATGGCAAAGGAATGTGCCAGGATGCTTCCAATTAAAAGCCTCCAAGTGGCCCTAGCCCAGGCCCTCTGTCCTCCCTGTTGATGCTCTCCAGCGGGCTCAAACTGCAGCCCTGCACAAGGGGGTGAAATGCAGCCTGAGCACAAGGTGCATGGCTCTGGCAGGGTATTCCCTCTTGCCCCAGCCATGTGAGGGTTGGGCTGGCCCTTTCCCCCAGGCCCCGGGTTCTGGGCAGAAGCAGCAAGTGGGGTAGGAGGGTACAATGCACCACACAGGAGCTGAGCCCGGCTCCGAGTCCCTAGCCTGAGGGCACAGGTTGCCCCAAAACTTGGATAAAAGCTCGGTAGCAAGAACATGTCAGCAGAAGGCAAAACCAGCCCTACGGCCTCATTCTTAACAGGCCCTGGGCATGGGTTTGCTTCCTGGGGTGGCATGGCACAGGTCTGGCACCACTGCTGCCAGGTTGCCTCTGCCCGGATTCCCACAGCCCACATGGGCTGCTGGCTGGCACTGCCTTGCTCACAGGACAGCACAGTCAGATACCCTCACCAGCCCCTGGATGGCAGACCTTTTACTGTAACGTCTTAACCTTAAAGAGGGTTATTGTCTTTCTCAGCAGGAGGAATCAGAAAGGTGTCCCTGATTGACTCACTCTCCCTGGTGAAAGCTGCCGGCTGGTGAGCAGGAGGGAGAAGAGAGCAGCAAAGGATCCTTTCCCCCACGATACAGAGGGTGGGCAGATTTGTGGAGGGAAGGGCTTGGCCCCAGCAGGCTGTAAAAAGGGCAAACCCCTTGGACTGTGCTCACACCCTGCCCATGGTAGGGCACAAAGGCTCTGGGACAGACACACTTCTGCTGCCTGGGGCAGGTGTCAGGACAGGTCTATAGGGTGAGGGGAGGTATTGACGAGGAGGGCAGGAGGCTTTGTAACAAGGAAATAATCAAAAGAGCCCATACTTCCTCTTGCAACTGGTAGGAAACCTCTGATGAGGCCGTCTTGATTTCTGGGGTTGTAGGGGAATGCTGGCGTTAGTCAAGACTGTAGGATGTCAGAGATGGTGGACTCCTTGTGTTGAAAATGCTGTGCTAAACTGTCTTTATTCCTTTTGGCCAAGATACCCAGTAGCAAAACCGGACATGGAGCCTCAGTCCAGGCTGTGCACGCACATATGCTGCGGTCAGAATTGCGAGTTCCTCTTGGAGAATTTGGTCCCCGGGCTTTCAGTTTCTGGGTCCCCCTCTCTTTAGTCATTCTTTTCCCCACAGTGGACTTTCAGTCAGCATTCGCAGATCTTGATATTGTTCCAAAAAAGAGTATCATTTGGGATCTTCCTACTTGATAGGTATTTCTTTCACTCCCTTTCTTGTGTCCTATAGTGAGCCCCTGCTCTGCGGTGGGGCTAAAGCAGAGTGGTGGTGTCGGTTCACATTACTGCAGGTCACACTTCTGATTTTTTTTTCCTCATCTTCCTTTCTCAGATTTTGGGGTTGCCCAAATGTGTCCCAGGGCCATTAAAAAATATTTGCCCTTCAAGAAAAATGGCCTTTCTCAGTCCTTTAAGTGCATAGGCACAAAACACACACGTGCACTGAGCGATTGAGATCTGCAAGCTCATGCCAGACGTGGATACTGCACCTCTTACAACTTTGAAATGGCTGCAGATCTTCCAGCCTAAATCCTTCTTGGCACCGAGTGCTTTAAAACCGCTTTTTATTATGAGTGATGCCTTGTCTAATTCTTTCATTAGCTCCTGTAGATCTCCTATAGGATCTCAAAAAAGTGAGCGACGATGCCTTATCAGGGTCTTACGAAGCAAGCAAATGAAATGTTTTTATATCTGCAGGTTATTGGTTTTGTCATGTTGTCATTATTACTAGGAAAGGGATAGGTCTGGGAGGCTTTTATACTGAGAAGAAGGGAGAGAAGAGTCCAGGGCAGGCAGGCATGAGTGATGTGCATGGGGTTAGACATCCCTGTAGATCTGACTGGTGTGAAGGCAAGTAATTGAATAGATGTTGGTTGAGAAAATAATTCCTGCCTAGAGACCCTTCCCAAGGAAAATTAATGAGCTGATCTGTTCCCTTTCCAGCTTGTTATATCTGAACAGCACAGAAGAGTTAAGTGCAGTTTCAGTGTTTGCAAAAACGAAGAGCTGACAGCACAGCGAGGCAGAGCACAGGCAGTGGACAAGCTTCTGCCAGACAATTCTGGTGCTGTGTCGCTTCCTCATGCTACCTTCTCCCACTGATGTTCACTCCTGGGCCACCTCTTTTCTTTCACGCCCGTCTTATGAGTGTTCTTTTTCCTTATATTCCCTTTTACCTTTCCCAACTTCTTTTCTTTTCCTCTTCTTTCCTGTCAGCATTCCTAGTTTTGTGTTGCAGAATTCCTTGCGGTCCTACTTCCAAGGATCCACAAATCATACGGGATCCTTTCCCCTGACTTTTGCTGTTCTCATCCAGGGGCTTTTCTGAACACGCAGTGAACAGAGCAGTAGATTATTAAGTCAGGGTCTCCATGTCTTCGTGGTTCAGGAGCAGGAGCAGCCTAGCACAGCCCTGAGATGCAGCAGGAGGCAATGGCCCAGCACAGAGCTGATTGCTGCTGGCATTGCATCTGCCAGGAAGGAGGTGGATGCAGAGCTGGACAGGCCGTGGGTGAAGAGGAAGACAAAGGATTTTAAAAAGTGGGGTGGCAGATGGTGGGGAGAATTATTCAGGATCCCAGACTCGGTTGGGTTTGATTCTCCTCTCAGCTTAAATTCACACCTGACTGTACTGAGAAGGCAGGGATGAGAGGGGCTGAGACCTGCAAGCTCAGTTCCTTTGTGAGATTTTAAACAAGGAAATGCTGTTCCTCACCATTGAGTCACTGGGACTGACTTTTAAATTG